CTGCGGTGGCGCTAGTAGCGGTAGGGGTGTATACGCTACTCAAGGCGCGCACATGAAACACTGTGTCCGCATCAGTGGGACTTACGATGGTTGCGGGTAGCTGAGGCTTGAGGTTGGACATGGCGGAATTGGATGAGAACTCTATTACTGCATTATGATGAAACTCAGAGCATGCGTCATCAATTAGTACGTTTTGTCGAATAGAGCCAAACTTCTGCAAATAAGCCTCAAGAGCCTCATCTAGTTCAGTTAGTGTTATGCCACTGACAATTACTGCATTTTGCACATTGACATTTTCTCGTTCTACAACATCCATTTTGTCTGATTCACTGTATGCGCTATTTAAATTGATTATTCACCTCAGCAGAAACTGCGTCCTCTCTCCTGGCTGGCTCGCCAAACTGTAGCGTGTGACACGTGGTTAGCGCGTCTTACTAGCGTAACATTCAATAGGCCAAATGATCAGAAGAAAAGTGCGACTACTGGAGAGAGGAAGACAGCACAACAGGTGAGTGAACAATCAATACAAAGACTTCTTTATGATTCAGTTTGGGTTTTGTATTAAGAGGAAATATACTTTTACATAAAATGTGTGGATTACAAAGATAACAAATCAAATATGGTAAATGAAAATATTCACACTCTTGTTTTTTTCCAGATACGTGGACTCAGTTTTGGACAGTATTGAACCAGACTCTCACATATTGATGAAAAACAATAAAAGAAATAAAATAAACCTCTGTCAAATTCCTTGTAATACAATACAAGTAAATAACAATGGATAATGCTTCCACACAAAGTATTGCAATCAGTAGTTCAAATACTTCAAAATCAAATCAAATGAACAATCAGTTTGATTCAGTTCACAGAATGAAATTCAGAAATTTCACTTTCAGTTACAACAAATTACTTTCTCTTTAAACTTAATAGTCTGTCCAATGTGAATCAGAGACTCAAGATTTGACAATTAGATTCGGTTAACCAGAGTTCGTAACTCGGTCGATGGGTTCAGAGAACTGTTGATTCTTTTAGAAAAAATCAGAATCACAATCAATGTCTTTTGTTGGAAAATCAAAAGGAAAAATAGAAAGCAAGATGATCTCAATGAGTCCAAGTCCCGTTTGTCCAATAGTAAAAGAAAGAATTCTCCTACCAGTTTGATGGCTCAAAAAACACAGTTCAACAGAAAATATGGTTCCGGTGGCTCGCCATTTACAATCTGCACCTCGTGCGTCCAGCACGAATCAGGGAATCATCACAGGAGAACTTGAATCTCACAAAAAAACCCAGCCAAGGCGATGAATTTATATATATTTCCTACAAGGAAGTTAATTTGTGGCACATTGATGTTCCATCCATCTGCATCGATCTGTTTCACTAGCCTCCGTCTCATCCGCGTCTTACTCTGGCATCAGCTCATGAAGGGGTCTTGAAGATCGCTCCGTGTAGCTGCCTCATCTCACTCGCCCGCTAGTACAGATGGGCGGGGCTTAGCGCACTCCCGCACTTCCTCTGCTGCTAGCTCTTAAAGAGCCCATCACCTCATTTGATATGTGATTTCTTTGTTTCTTTCTTACTTATTTTCTGCTTCCATATTATTTTTTTAGTAGCCTGGATTACCCGGGTTACACAGACATCCTTATTTAGTTTATCCACATTTAGTTGGTGTTGTGGTCTACCGCATCGCTTAATCGCATAACTTAATCCAGAGCAGACACTTATCTCGGTTGAGATGTGGCTTGGGAAAGGGTAAAAAAATACACACCGTCGCCCAGCCTCTCGGGAACCTAGTGTCGGAGTTGCATGTACTCCATGCACATCGTTTGACCATTTTAAACTTAAAATGACAAGAAAAAAACAAATGAAAACTGACTAACTGCAATGCATTTCAATGGACGTAGAAGCAGAGAATGCCCGAGTGTATTGGGTTAGCTGCGTACTGTGATTAGCTCATCGCGTTTGAGGGCGTGGCTTAGCCATAGGTCAATTGGAACCTGGCATTCGCTTTTAACGTGACAGCAGCCTAATATTCATGCTGTTGTCTGTTCTTAAATGTTAATCAAACCATAAAAGACAATGAAATCACTTCCTCTTCACTGAATTCTTCTTATTTTTTTTTTACTTTAATAAGGATTAACTTTTCTTTAATTTGTACAGTGAAGTTTATTTGAAATGCTATTTTACATTTGATAACTTTATTAAATTTCTGTACCTGAGAACTACATGCCATGATTATTTCATTTGTATCATTGTTCTATTGCATTTATTTATTTGTGTTATTGCTTGTTGTTTAATTCTTGGTTATTTTGGTATTTTTATTAATGACTGTTTAGGGTACTAGTAATAATCTTTGAAATTTATATTAGTTAGTAGTTTTAGCTGAGGTACCAACATTTGGAAGAGAATTGTTCAATTTCTCTGGTATCTAAAATTGTGGGTGTCATAACCTTATTTATACAAAGATACATAGGTAAAAAATAAATAAATAAACTATTTTATTGATTTTAGGTGGGGCCAGTGAAAATTTAATCATTGAATTAATTTAATCGAAATCAAACCTGGACATCTGTATCGATAGCCAGCCAGCTTATATGCGTGCAGTGTTTATTTACAGAGTGACATCGCCAACTACTGGCCTGGCAGCAGAATACAGTGTTTTTAGTCATTTTCGTGGATCCATGTGAATGGTTTTGACAACATTGTAGCTAGTCTGTTCGTGAAAAAGGCAAAGGAAATACTTTTCCATTTTTAGTACATTGTTGTTGTGTAGCCTGCCCTACTGTATATGTATCTTTAGATATGTCCAACAACCCTGTTACCACATGTATTCTATCTCAATCCTCACGCAAAGTTTTTACCAAATTTTGAGACAGATATTTAATAACAGATTAGGTGTTAGGAGTCCTAATTTGCGTACTTATGCACTACTATATTCTAAGTAGTGTGTTCACACTTGAAATTCCAAAAAGAAAAAGTGCACTTGAAATACCCAAATTATACTTACTTAACCGGAAAAACAAAGTGTGGTATGTTGTGCTATGCCCGAAATCGAACTTCCCTATATAGTAGGCGAAAAACAGTAGCCACATCATCAAAGTAGAATGTCTGCATACATAGTATTCGAAAAACAGTAGGCGAAAAGTGCTACTTTAAGCGAGATTCTGAAGTGCACATTCGATTCCCATATGTACTTATATGTATGTACTTATGCAACCAATATGTGCCCTCGATGCGCACTTTTGCTGAGCCCGCATTGAAGCGAGCTCCACAGCACACTTCTACCTGACAGTCAAAGTGGCGTTACGTCAAGAAAGTGCGGACTCGTAGGAAGACCGCGAGTGTTTAAGGTGCCTCCTGGGACAGGGCCTTCACGCACTCAACTGTCACAGTTTATACGCTGATTTCATGCTGCCGCCATTTTGAAATCACTCCGGTGGGAAGAAAACCGGAAGTGTCGCCTTTAATCAGTCGCGAATGCGATGGCGTATTGTTGTGATTAATATAGAAATGAGTTATTCTACATACATTTCTTTCATACTTTAGACTATACACAGTGAAAGTAATGTATAAATTAAAAAAAAATATTTTTTATAATTTAGAACATAAAAAAAACAAGGAGGAACGAATTATATGCATATCCTATTGGATATTAACATCCAATAGTGTAAAACGCGGCAGCAGCTTCAGGTGGGTAGTCCAAGGCAGTGTTGTCTATCTATACTTCCGGGGTTCTTCTCACTGGAGCCTCGCTTTCCATTTCATAATGGCGACTGTGTGAAATCAGTATTGTAGTGGAAGGGGATCAGACTCCGACAGTGAATGACAAAGATAATACAGTGCATAAGTACATATTGTATTTCGTTTTATAATGTGTCACAACTACAGAGAAATAAACTTGCAAAAGGTTTTCTATTTTCTCGCAATTGCGAGTTTATATCTTGTGATTCTGATACCATTTCTCAGAATTATATATTGTATATAGATATATAGATATATAGATATAAACTAAACATTTGCAAGTTATCTTTTTAATCTTTAGTTTTTCCAATTCTAAGGAAAAGAAGACTGAAAAAATAAGTCAGAAGTGCATGTTTTTATCTCAAAATTCTGACTTTATAACACACAATTGCGACTTTTTATAACAAAATACTGACTTTATGACGCGCAATTGCGACTCTATGTCATGCAATTCTAAAAAAAAATTCAGAATTGTGAGATGGCAATTGTAAGGGGGGAAAAGTCAGAATTGTGAGATAAAAAGTTGCAATTACCTTTTTTTTATTTTTTGTTTTGTGGCAGAAACAAGATTCCATACATTATAAAAATATGGTACTCAAGTTAAAAAAGTTATTGTAATAAACACGTCAGCCTACGTCATTGCACCTTTTTTCCGTCACACTACTCAACAACACTCGCCAGCAAAAATGATGTGTGAACGTCATCATTATGAGATAATAAGATAATAAGTCAAAATTATGACAGTTTAGTAAATCATAGAGATTAAAAAGTATAATGTATGAGATAAAAAGTTGAAAATGCGAGTTCTATGTCGACTTTTTATGTCATAATTTTTGTTCAAAAACATTTTTCTTTTCTTATTTTGTATTCCATATAAAATAGTCTACATTGTAGACATTTTCAGAGACTTATCATCCATCAAATTCACCCCAAAAAAAAGCAGAGCACAATGCTTCGAGATCTACAAGCTCTGGCACCAGGACCAGGACCAGGTAAAGTGTGTTTGATAGCCGCCCCCTATGAAACAGTTTTGTCCATAGACTGTGGTTTTGTCTCAGTTTTGTGCAAAACTGTTTTTTTTATCTAATTACAATTATTATTATTTATTATTATTTACTCATAGTCTATTGGTTCTGTAGTATTACAAATAGGCCTACAAATCTAATGTTTCGTCCTTGTACACTCCATCCCAGTAGATGGCGGAATATGCTCCAAAAGCTGGTCTGCCAACCGCCATAAAACATAAAAGAAGAAGACTCCTCAACTTTAGATGTCGCTGTGGGGAAAAACAATAAGGAGACGCACTGTCAAGGAAACAGCAACACGAGGATATAAACGGGATTTATAAATCAGTCAATTGAAGTATTTCTGTTTCCAGCAGTAATCTGACTCGTATTGTTGCATCGTATCGTTGAATAGGTGAGCTGATGATATAACTTACAGGTCCTGTATGAAGAGAATTCGAGGACATTTAACGTTATGCAGAAATGCGTTAAAACAGATGTGTTTGTTTGGTTGTTTGTCCTTTGAGTTTTCATTTTCTTTAGTCTTTAATTATTATACGAGTTTAATTTGGGATAACAGTGGTTGTCTTGGGCTTTATCTAATTTACTGGATGGCCCCAAGGGAATCAATAAAAACATAAATTTGCAGCGTCAAGTTCGTGTAAGGTCGTTGTTGTAGGTCGTTGTTGCAAGGTTCGTTGTTGTAAGTTAGGTCTTGTGTAATTTTTGGTGACACGGATCCCTAAATATAATCACTTATAGTAAAACTTTTTTTTTTTTTTTTTTTTTTTTTTTTTTTTTTTACATTTTTCTCTGAACTTTTTTATAGACCCGCTAACACCCATATATATAGATAGAAATGCATGCATGTATATATTTGAGAATTATTTGCATGTAAATACTGTATATATAAATACATTTTCTTAAATATATACATGCATGTGTGTGTATTTATATATACAAAATAATTATACACAGCACACACAAATATATTATGTAAACACAAACTTTTATTTTAGTTGCGATTAATCGCAATTAATCTTTGCACAGCCCAAATAAATAAATAAATATATATATATATATATATATATATATATATATATATATATATATAAGCAAGATTGTTTTTTATTTGGATATCCCTGTTTTGAAGCAAGAGACCTCCTTCAAGGAGAGTTTCATGTCTTATCACTTCCCCCAGTCTTGCGTCACAGCTGATAAAGCTATAAAACCTGTCAAATAGAGTTTCATACATTCACTTAGTATCAGCACTGAACTGTGAACACACGCTTTACAAGGTAAGAGAGATAGGCCTAAAGATAGTTGTGTTATATGCATTGACTTGTATGTTTTCTGTGTAATATAATGTTTGTCTTGAATCCACCTCTGCTCCACTTTTTCAGATTTACTATTAAATTGTGTTATATAACGTTAGTTAATCTTTTTTTGTTGTTTTTTCCATTCAGAAATGTCTCAAGTCAAGCAGAATTTTCACCCGAATAATGAGGCAAACATCAACAAACTGATCAACCTCAAATTGACGGCCTCATATGTATATCTCTCCCTGGTCTGTTCACACACATACATAACTTTTATGTATTTACATTTGCATAATTTTCACCTTGTACCTTTTAACTTGTAAATTTGTCTATTTATTTATTTATTTTAGATGTAATAATTCTTTTAAAAAATATATATTGCTTAAACTCGCATAAATACACTAACACAAAATATTACATTGTCAGCAATTCCTTCATGCCAAATGTGCATTGTGCACTTGACGGATATGGAATAATTCTAAATATTAGATGGTTTATAATTCAATAAACAGTCTTTTAATTCAATATACAGTCTTTTATAGCACTGATGCATTCATGTTCTATTAATGACTCACCTCTGCATGTCTGTAACACTAAAAGTGTTTCTCTCTGTTTCATAGGGAATGTATTTTGACAGGGACGATGTGGCTCTGCCCAACTTCTCCAAGTTTTTTCTGGAGCGTTCACAGAAGGAGAGGGATCATGCGGAGCAGTTGCTAGAGTATCAAAACACGAGAGGAGGACGAATACTTCTACATACTATCTCGGTCAGTGAGTTTTAGGCTACATCTACATTATTCTGGATAGATTAGAAAAATGCATTTTTGTTTAAAAATGCTCTCCATTTTCAGACGTTTTCCGATGTTTCAGTGTGGATGAGAAACACTTGGAAAATGCTTAAACGCTAAATTCACCTTACTTCGCATACGTAAAACCTTACTGAGATGATACAGATGGAAAAGTTATTGTGCAATTCTTCTGACAGGATCACTCTATTTAGTAAAAATATCTCCCCATTCACTGGTGTCCAGGTCGCACTCAGTCACCATAGGTTTGGTCTAAAACACAACTGCTGCTCTCATGTTTTGCCGCAGGACAGCAAATTTGAGTGAATTTTGTCATCTTTGCAAGACTGTAATATGAAGATTGTGCAAACACATTTTAGCAACAGTGTGAAAGTGAATTGCACATAGCATGAATATCTATTGGTACAAAATGCGTCACATGACTAACCTTACGTCATCGTCTTTAAATGCCTGTTTTGACACTCCACACTACAACGTGAAAAACAGCATTTTCAAATTTATCCACTTTGGAAAAAAGCTTTTTGATTAATAAAAACGCCATCTCGGTGTGGACGGAAGGCCAAACTGAGAGAACAAAATGTGTTTTCAAACATAAACCACCAAAGCATTTTTAGCCAGTACAGCGTACTACAGTTAAAATTAATCCAGTATTTTAAATGAGCTTTAGTATATTCATGCGTTTAAACACATTTGTGTGTATAATCTGATTGTGTGTGTGATGGTTTTTTAGTTCCGATACCTATTTTTTTTTTTTCCCAATCAGCCTTAGCTGATGACCGATACGGCCTGCCGATATTTGGAGCCGATACATTTTGTTCCCTCAATTTACATCATAAAAATGACATGATGTTAACAAATGTTACAGGTCTCAATTTAATAAAAATGTAACATTTGTTTAACTTAAAAATTATATTTAACAAATAGTAAAAAAATGTGAGGTAGAACAAGAACAAAAAGATAAACAATTTTTAACAAATATTAAAAATCTGAGGTAGAACAAAAAAAGTTCAGTGCTGAAAATAAATATTTAAGCATAAATGAAATAATTAGGCCTACACTATTGCACACAGTAGCAACCAGCATAATAAAATGCACAGTGCACACTGTACTTCATTTTAAAAGAAATGAACTATGTACTGCCATGGTTTCAATTTTTCTACATAAAATAAAATGAGCCAACATGACATCATGACGTTTGCGTAAACATGCACGCCACTTTCAAGTCAAGGAACACATATTTTCAGCTATCCGCGTGTTTGCGTATGCATGTGTTCATGTCTACGCCGTTAAAGGTCCGAGTGATTCCACGTGTATGTACACCCTGTTAAATGTCCGAGCGAAACGAAGCAAAATGTAGATCTACATCTGAGGAGCGATATTTTTTTCTAGGATGGTAGGGGGAGACTCATAAATGCTATTAACCCCAGTGACGGGTTTAGGGATGGGGTTGGGGTAGGTCCTATATTTATACAGTAATGTACGTTAAGTCAACGGGGTTCATAAACACGTTGAAAAGCGTGTTGATTGCACTCCAAAAATGGAAATATGAATTGGTGTCATACATACGCAATTTCACTAGATGAGCATGTCTAGTCTGTAGTATCACTGTGATGGCGAGGGAGACGCACACCACACGCGTCCAAACCTCAGCCAGGTGGGTGCTGAATAAATCTCGGAAAAAAGCACGGAACAACGTTGGCGTTACTTAGGGCCAATCCCAATTCTACCCCTTACCCCTTCACTTTCCCCTTCCCCTCCGTTTTGCGCGTCCACGTGAAGGGGTAGGGTTGTCCCAATTCTCTTTTGGTTGGAGGGGGAGGGCTAGGGGAAAGGGCCAGATAGCCCTTCAAACGAAGATTTTTCGGGAGCACACTTCAAACGAAGGGGTATGAGAAGCGTCACTGCTAACCCAGGCTACAGATGCAAAATGGCTGCCCAAGCAAAAAAGGAGACCCATAAATGTAAGTATTTGTGGCTTTAATAAGTATTGTAACGACAAATAATGATTTGCTTTATGTTACATTCAATATTGTGTTCATATTTACGGTCAGTTTCTTCACAGAAGCGTTTGTAAAAAAATCGCTAAAATTACTGTAGTTTGCTAACGATAGTCCCGCAACATATTTTCGTCGTCTCCGTTGTTTCCTGCGAACTTCACAAGATAAATGCAAGAAAATAGCTGTAACCCACGCGACTGAGATAACTGCAGCTGTCGACGGCATCTTGGAAGTTGTGATAAACATCGGCGCATCTCCTGTGACGTAGGCGCTAGCGACGACTTATAATGACGTTTACCGGAGGCGTAGTGGTGTCCCATTTCTTAGGGGAATATTTTCACCCCTACGCATTGCCACTCTGTTTCAAGGGTCAAGGGGAAGGCGAAGGGGTAGGGCTAGGGGAAAGGGAAGGGGTAAGTGGTAGAATTGGGATTGGCCCTTAATCCTATGACCGGTGTTTCTAACAGCTACCGTATGATTAGTAGGGCTGTCAAAATTGCTCAAATGGCGTTTTCCATGTGGACCCACAAACTTGCTTAGCTATATAGTAACAGTTATAGAGCAACTTGTTTCCATTTTCAAAGTGTTTGGCAATATTTTAGCAGTCAAACAGTTAAAAGATGCTTTGAAAGTTACCATTATCTTGAAGATCAGGAAGATCAGGTTGGACGCCGGTCTATTAATAATGCCGGGAAAAAACTATCGGCGAACGCAGCAGCTGCGTAACGGCCGATTCAGATATTCGTAAAAACTGCAAATATTGGACGGCTGATATATTGGCCGATCACTGCCGTAGTTTTATGTATCTGTAATATTCTACATGTTATGATGTATCTATAGCCGCTTTTCCACCATCGGGCCTAACCGCTCTCTTTGCTTAACCGTGTTGATCTGGGCCAGCCAGCATGGATATTAGGGCTGGGTAATAAATATCGATTTCTCGATATTAATCGATTCTCATTTTTACGAACCGATATCGATTCTTAAATCTCAAGAATCGATTATTCATCCTGTTTCATTTGAATGAATGGGATATTGTATCGCGGCTGCGCGCATCAAAAAAAATCGCAATAATCTTTGTCCTTTGTTACTATTGATATGAAGCAAAGTCTCAATTTTCAAATTACGTCCATTTTCTTTAGACATTCAAAAACATAAATAGCGTTTTGGCGCTGTGGCGTGAGATCGCTCTGGCTCAGCTGATGAGAAGCAGCAGCGCTGATCTCTCTTCCGGCTTAATAATACCAGTCACAGCGCGAAATAAACATGAATGAGCGTCTGAAAGTGTGTTAAAGATGGAGTACAACTTATCGAAATTCGTATCATGTCACATTGATTCGCTCAATCAGCGTTTCAACCATGGAAAGACGTCAGTTAAACAGCTTGTAATCAATGTATCGTCATATTTACCTCAGAAAACCCACATCAACTCGTTAGTCAGCTAGGAAAAAAATAACTGCAGAGAGGAGCATTTTGCTAAATATATATCCACCATTTAAATGTTTATATTTCATATAATCTTCTTATTATAAAAATAAATAAAAGTGTAATTTAAGTGATTCATTAATTATTACCTTCATATAGGCTAATGAAGCCTAGTAGGCTACAACTAGACTCCTATAGTTTACAGCATTAGTTAAGAGATTTGATTCCCTTGAGAAAAAATGGCATTTATTGTAACTGATATCCAAAATAATCGATATTGAATCGAATCGAAATCGAATCGAATTGTGAAATTTGTCTCAATACCCAGCCCTAATGGATATGGTTTGATTGTTCCATTGTGTGGCTCTTTGGAATGAAATACAAAAGCATCAGTCATTTGCCATATAGTGCAACAGTTTACAGATAATATGAGATGTAAATAGCGACCGCTTTATAAAGGATGATTGGATATTTAGCTAGGCAACAGACAAGTGAACAATTCTGAGTTGCTATTACACACATTCTACCAGCACAGTTTAGGACTGTTAGCCAACTCTGCTGAGAAGAGTCGGGGCCGAAACCAGTTCTTAATTGTGTTGTGCAATAGTGGAAATACAACTGAAACTGTTCCTTACTGTTCTTAGAACCGTTCGATGGAAAAGCGGCTTATTTGAGCATCAGCAAGATCTACAGTAGTCAACATTTGAAGTAGATCAAAACCTTTCATCAAAGTTATACATGCAATTTTGAACCATACCTGTTCTCGTCTTAGGACAGCTTTGAACTTTTTGATCCACTTTTAATGTTGACTACTGTATAATATTTATAATACAAAATAGATGTGTTTATAATACTTCTGTCCATTTTTCTCTTTCTTCCCGTTACTTATCAGAAGCCCAGTCGGGATGATTGGAGTGGAGGTTTGGATGCAATTACTTTTTCCCTGGATCATCAGAAATCTCTCAACCAATCCCTGCTGGAGGTCCATCTCGCGGCTGGAGAAAACTCGGACCCTCATGTGAGTTTTTTTTTTTTTTTTGTATTAAAATAAGAGTTGATAATCCCTTATCTTTCTCACTTGTTTTGTGTTTTCAATTATAATTGCATATTATTTTTGAATAATGGTGTATTTTCCCCATCATTCTAGCTGTGTGATTTCCTGGAGAGCAACTTCTTTACTGACAGTCATGACTTTATTAAAACTCTGGGGGACCACATTGGCAGTCTGAGTCGTCTCGTCTCTTCTGACCCACACGGAAAAATGGGAGAGTACCTGTTTGACAAGCACACTCTCTGATCGGCTCAGATCTCATGAGTTTGGCCATCTGCCATCCTTCCATGTCGTGTATACTTTTCATTTCATTATTTTTGCCTTCCAAGAGGCATTTCTGTAAGAATCACAGTGTTTTTAACAACATTTGTTGTACTTTTTCCATGGATAAGTGGGACTGTACTGTGAATTGTGCCAGTCCAAAGATGGTACTTTGTTGTTCAAGCTTTAACTACCCCATGTCTGTTTACATAATTGTATTGGTGCTATTGTAAAACCATACCTTGTCAAAAACCAGCCTATATAGAGTCCTGAATGTCCTTCAGAAGAGGTTTAATACAGCGCACAACTGAAAATGAGTGCTTGTGTACACGTTTTAGAACTCTGAACAATGTCACTGTGAATTGATATACCTCAACATGCTCATAAAATAAAGCATTCCTAAAAAAGATTGTTCTTTTTTCCTTTAATGTTGCCTATTTAAAGTGCTTTAAATATATGAATATTAGAAATCTAATTGCATTTAAGCACACTTGTATTACTGTTTTTTACATGTAGTTCAGTTGTCAATGTGTCAATAAAAATTTAGTTAATCATTAGCTTATCCCAAAGTAACTTGACACATTGGAATTTGCTGTTCTTTTCATAAACACATTGTGAAATGCTGCCCTTGTTAAAACTGGGAGCCTTTGTACAGGGGTTAATGGCTTATTTATTTGTCAATTGAAACCAGGGTCAAATTTATCATTTGAGAATCTGAAAAAGAATATTTATCATTCCAGGATATGTGTGAAAATCATTCCAATTTTAGTGTGAAAATCACTTCTTTTTTTTTCACAACTAACTACTGCAGTGTAACTGACAATGCAACAAGTATAAGCTTACTGATGGGATCACATAACATCAGTGTGTTAGTTTGTGGACAGATAACTGTCACAGATAACATAAAGTTTGTCGTTTTCATGTAAAAAAAAAAAAGGATTTTCGAAAGGGATATAGTGAATGCAGTGATTGCTTTTCTTTGAGACTTTGGTGTTTAGAGCTTTGGGAAAATTTGAGAATGATTCAGCAAACGTGTGTAGACGGAAGAATTGAATGAAAACAGGAAGATTTACTGTGAGTCACCATTTTGCATAAATAGCATTACAGTAAAAAAGTAGTTTCCAACTATAAATGCACCTAATGTCTCTGAAAACTGCAAATAAAATGCCCTTCTTGTTCATTTGACACTGAACACATCTTCCTGAACACAGCCGCTCTTTAACCCGACACCAAAGGCAGTTATGAATAAGGCAGCTATAATGTGTCAGCCAGAGATAAGGACTTTGAAACTGCTGACTCGTTATGAGTGTTGTTTATGAAAGGCATTCATTGGTGTTCATGCACTTGAATTGTTCTTGGTGTGGTTTAAGTAATCAAAACCACTGATCTGGCCTGAATTCCTTACAAACAACTTTCTTTATGAAATAAATAAAGCAAGAGGGAGTTGTAATGGAATAGCTTTTTCAAAGAATGAGACACAAAGCAGAGTGGAAAATACGACTTACTTATTGTAATAGATTAAACCCTATAAAGCCTGATATATGAAATAATAGTCCAAAAACCTGTTTGGGTTGTTGTTCAAAATTATCATTTAAATGAGTCAATAAATTATCAATAATACTTTTAATTTGTCTTACCCTGATTCACTACGGTAAGCTTGTATGGTGTGGAAGTGACATATAGTTTTAACCTGGGCCGCAGGGTGTCCGTGGCACCAGTGCGAGTTGTTGTCCAATGACATTGATTGTCACAATGAGAGAAAGGTTGACATGGAGCATGCTGAATCTCAAACCTCGAATCATTCCCGATCTGCTGACAAAAAGAGAATGCGACAGAGTTTGTAATAATATAAGAATCAACATTGGCTTGGCTTTTCGGATATGGCGAGAACTGAGGGATTTGAAGTGTTGTAAAAGCAATTTTATTTTTATTTTGTATTACTCAATGGGTGAGTAAAGTGTTTTATTGAACAGATAAATAGCTAAATCTCTCTAACAGAGTTAATTGAAAAGCATAATCTATTGCAAAGGGTCATATTAATCATTCACTCAGAGCTGAAGCAAAACAATGCTTTTCCACAGAATGCATGCAGTTTTGTTTTTAACCTCTAGAGGGCTAACATGTACATATTGTACATACAGTGGGTACGGAAAGTATTCAGACCCCCTTACATTTTTCACTCTTTGTTATTTTGCAGCAGCCATTTGCTAAAATCATTTAAGTTCATTTTTTCCCTCACTATTGTACTCACAGCACCCCATATTGACAGAAAAACACAAAACTGAAATATCACATGGTCCTAAGTATTCAGACACTTTGCTGTGACACTATTTCTTCTGATCATCCTTGAGATGGTTCTACACCTTCCTTTGAGTCCAGCTGTGTTTCATTATACTGATTGGACTTGATAAGGAAAGCCACACACCTGTCTATAGACCATTTCACAAGATGTAAACAACACTGGCCCAGAAGCACTTCCTGTTTCAGTTTTTTAACACTACATAAAAGCTGGGATAAAATACAACCAACAGAACATTTAAAACTGAATCAAAAAGTTAAACAAACATCTTTAAGATGTTTTTTTTTTACATGTGAAATAAAGAAAACAGTTAAAAACTGAAACAGGAAGTGCTTCTGGACCAGTGTTGTTTACATCTTGTGAAATGGTCTATATAAGGTAGATCTTTGTTCTACCATCTGCTCCAAACGTCACAATTAAGCACCATTCTTCTGCTTACGGAAAACAAAACATCAGCTCATGAGTCAAAAGGAAGTTAATTCACTTCCTTAGTTGTACCAGCCACGTGTTTAACTCTAGAGATTTTTATCCAGCACAACCCCAAACTTTTTTATTAATTTTATTACTGTATATTATATTATAAAAGCATGTATGCAGCCACTTCCATGTGTCACATCATTAAAATACAGTATGAAATTTTACAATGAGTTTAGAATGTCACAAGCAAAATACTGTATATTTATATATTTAAAAAAAAAAAAAAATCCAGTGACGTTCCAGCCCGATCTGATGAAAGTTCGTATCTATAGCACGAATGTCATTTCTCGTGTCATTTATACGCCAAAAACAGTTTTTGCGTGTATATGGCACGCGTTTTTCGCGTGCATATAATACGCATTTTTTGGCGTATAATACGCACGAACTCCCCACCCCCCTCCCCCCTAAACCTAACCCAGGGTTTTTTAGTGCGTACCATATAAACGCAAAAAACGTTTTTGGCGTATAAATGCCACGAGAAATGACAATCGTGGTATAGATACGCATCTTCATGAGACTGTGTTGGGTGTTCCTTATAATCTGGCCTAGTTTGAGCAGAACCTCGGCCTGTAAGTTTCAATAAAAATCACTGTCTTCATCAACTTCAAAATCGAGCACATGCAACTCGTCGTTCTTCTGTGTCACTCCTTTCTCCTCCTCCTCTGTGCTGTTTTTGGTTTCTCTTTTATCCCTCTTTACAATCTGATGATATTCCTGATAGATTCCAGTCAGAGCCTGTGCGGCCTCAACAGACACTTTCAGCTTTCCAACCACATCCTGCTCTTCATCTGCGCTGACAACTGAGAGATAGAAACAGACAATAATTCATGTATTTCTTATGCATATATTTCAAGTATATTCTTTATCTCCTTTAAAATGACTGAATATTACCATCAATCTGTTCTTCAATTACATCATTTCCAGTCAGAAGAAGTTCTCGTAAATCCAAGTGGGCATAGCCGACATCTTCACATTCTTCTTGCTCATTCATGGGCTCACTTACTACTGTGAACTTTAACCTAAATGATTGGAAGAAAGAAATTTTCTTTACGAATCTTTCATTTTACTGCCATGTGAAATTATTATTGTTACATCTATCAGTATCTCTCATGTTCTCTCTGTTTACCTGCCCTGGTTGGGGTCAGTGCCTTCCAGCATGGTGTAGAGGTAATGTCTCAGAGGAGCTGCTTCCAATGAATCCACATGAATAACTGACAACAAATCAAACATGTTGTTAATTATATGTTTGTTTTTCTTATCTATGTTAAATCTACTAATATACAATATATATATATATATATATATATATATATATATATAAAATGAAATAGAGGGCCACTACAGTAACAAGATTAAGTACACTATTAAAATGCATTGTAATCCTGACAAATTTGAAGTTGTATTTTAAAGTACCTCTTTCAAAATTACATCTCAGTCTAAAAAAGTAATTTTTTTCTGATGTGATGACCAACATAATAAAGCACATGTAAAGTACTTGATTATAATTTTAACTGAAATGTGTTATTTAATATTACATTTAAAAGTTAATATATTTTAAATTTACTAATCTTAATATCTTCTTTACAAATGTGTAATTATGTGTAAAAAAAATTAATATAATAATAAACACAATTTAATTCATACACACAAGTTTCAATAAAAATGACATTCAATATTTAGTTTACCATAAATGCACTACATTCTGAAGTATTCTTTAACCATATTTTATAAACATATGAAATATGAAATTAACATATAAGGATGTGCATAATTCACACTTAAGTGGGCCAATAAAGCACTCTAAACTTCAACTAATTGAGTTTAATATGAATTTAAACTATAATACAACTGAATTTAATTGCAATTACCTGTCCACAAAGATTACATACAGTTTGTAAGAATAATTTTCTTTTAATGTGTATTATTTCTGTAATAAGTACTCATTTTAAAAGTATTGTACTTGATTTTACAAGGATGGGTCAGTAGCATTTCTCTTTGTAAGTAAGTGGCATTTTTATTCCTTCTACTCAAAACTTGAAAACTAAACCTGCTAACCATTTGTCCTAACTGAGTGTGCTGCAAGTTTCCAGGGAGAAGTTATTCCATGCTGAAAGTTGGTGCAAATCAAAGTCAATCAAAAAATATTTGATGTTTAATATTATATACAGCTACTGTATGTTGAACGGAAGTTTGGTCCAATGAGACGTCAGTGTGGGTGGGGCTACACAGAGTGATGTTAAAGGTCGCGGATGGTTAGGACAGAGACTTTTACCATGGAAGAACATCTGGTTATGACACATAAAAATGTAATTCTTTTTCCTTTAGTGACCTTACCTCGTGTAAAGTTATAGTGTATTTCCTCCCCGTCTGTTGGTTTACGAAGGGACATGGGCGTTTCTGTCGTCTCCATAGGAATACCTAGAAGGCGGTATTCCACATACACCTGGTGCACTGAATAGTCAAGTGCAACACTGGAAGAGGGGTTAAAAGAGAGTGAAAGGATTTCCACTCGGAGTCTGTCTCCCTGTGAGACACAAAGACAAACGTTAATGAAGAACTGACTCTTCCCAGATGCAAGTACAAGAAAACAAATGTTTCAGCAACACCAACTTGATTTCACGGAATGGTCCAAATGTGCTCTGGCAAATGCATAAGCGTTCATAAGTTATTAAAGGACAAGTTCTGTATTTTGCAATTAAAGCCCTGTTTTAAGATCGTTTCTGATGAAATAGAATGGTTAAGATTGTTTTTTAGACAAATGCCAGAGAATTTTTCGGATTCTGTGGTAGCACCCCCACACCTTTACAATGGTAGCATAGGAACAACAATCCTTCATAAAACACATAAAACTTTAGTTTACAAAGACGTGAAACTCACCGACTGGTCTGGGGTGTTCACTGATATGCTCACACAAAAATGGCTGCAAAAGATGTTTTTCAACAGGTGTTTTACCATTCTTAGTAAAACTGTAGACCTATTTTTCCGAACGCCTAACAGCCGTACATTCTTCCGTTGAGAGCTTGAATAATAGACATTCCAGCCCAGTTGGTGGCGATAATGCACCTTTGCCAATTGCAAGCAAACCACTTGTATAGTGTACGATACCGCGACTGCATAAGACTACAGAAAGAATACAAACAACCCCATTTTCGTTTCCGGCGGCAGAGTAATACCGTATATCACAGAACATACAATTCAAGTCAATGGATTTGTACAAAAACTATGATAAAACCTGTTGGAAAGCATCGTTTGCAGCGATTTTTGTGTGAGCATATCAGTGAGTTTCACGTCTTTGTAAACTAAAGTTTTATGTGTTTTAGAGGGATTGTTCCTGTGCACCCATTGTAGAGTTTTCGTTCCTGAAATTGGTTGAAAATTACAAGATTTTGGTTTAAAATTACTTGTATCTAGGGAAAGATTTTGGTTGAAAATGATTAAAAAAAAATTAAGATTTGTGATTGAAAAATACAATTACAAAAATTTCTGTTGTATGTAACATCCATTAGTCAACAGTGTGATCATCACCTTTTTACGTGGTTTTGGAGGGTGAGGAATTATGATGACGTCACTTCCATTTGAATCTCTTGATTCATCAGACTGAAGGGCATCCACGTCACTTTGAGCTATTTTGGATAAAAGAGGTAAAAATAAGCTTTTAGTACTTTAGAACTTGTTTAATGAACAAGTGACTTCTGAAAATCTCACTTCTATCTGTTTCATCCTCTTGTTCTTCATCTTCCTGATCCTGCTCCTCCATTTTGATTTGCTTCAAAAGAAATATATTGAGGAGGACACATTTGAACTGACTGATTTAAATACTCATAAATCTTGCTGTTATACCTTTCCAGTTCCTTACCTGTGCTGAATGTCTTCCATGTCTCCTTTGTCTACGAGGGGTGCTCAGCTCTGAGTTCGATGCTCTAAAGTCCATAAATTGATTGGACTCAGTTGACTTAATAGACATGGTAGGGGTTTGGGGTTTGACTTGGTCCTGAATGTGCAATGATGCAGTGCTTTGTTGCTTCCTTCTAACTGACCTTGATGGTTGACCTGCACTAGATAGAGGTTTTCGATGATTCGAAGTCGGTTCAGATACCAGAATGGTTGGAGACTGAAGGGGTAAGGTCGAACCTCTTTGAGGGATTCTAACGGGTGTGGATGGGTGAATGTCAGAGGTCTTGGCTCCATGGTCTGCTGAAGGCCGAAGCTGAGACTGAAATTAAGTCGAAAGATTTATTTTATATTGTTGTTGAAATACTCTGGGGTGTGTTTCCCGTACAACGACGTAACTCGCTGCTTCTGCATCATTGAAGAAATCAACTAGCTAGTCACGACAGTTTCCTGAATCCGTGTTGTCGGAAAAGTGGTCGTTCCACCACATTGGTTAATAGTAAGTAAATTTCTTTTAATGAATCTGTTTGAGATCGAATTAGTGCTAGATGTTTTTGCTATAAATTACGAACATGTCATCTGAGGACTATTTGTCATTTTTCTCAGATATTTTGCTTTATTTTCAGATTCAATCATAGTCTCGTTCTTGCGTAGAGGCGTAGAGAAATGACGCTTTAAATCTATTGATAAACTAAACGACGCAAATGACATTTGTATGTATTCTGAATAAAAGATATAGATTGTACAGAATGTCAGCTTGCTTATTTGGTTCAAGATAAGTATTTATCGAGTCCACATGTCATACAAACATGTTACTCTGCTTCTAACCACAACTCGAGAGCTGTCATTTCAAACGAATAACTTTACGTTTTTGTTTGTGAATGTTAGTTAAAACTTTGTTTTCGGGAAACACCGACTCAGCTGATAATGTCAGAACTTGTGGCCATATTTGGCTAATGATACTTTTGGGAAACGCACCCCTGGGCAGCTATTGTTATTTTTACAGACACTCACCCTGGGCTTTGCAATCGGTCTCTGTGACACCTCAGCGCTCAGCACCATTCTCTCTTTCTCTGCTCCTTCTCTTTGCCTTGATGGAGTCTTGGGTGACTGAAAGGGGTACTTCCACCTGAGAGTAACCCTTACCATTCCTCTAGGACTGCCAGCAGGGTCTCTAAGCACATAATCACCTGCCAGCAGGGAACAGAGGAAACATTATTCACCAGTTAACCTTTGCCTTAGTGAATATTGCTTTATATTGATTAATTTTAATTATACCCCATTATATTAGGGAATGTTCCTCTATTACTGAGTTTAAAGGTCATTTAAAAACTTACTTCTTCACTTCGGCATTTGATTATTCATGAGTACTGTCCTGGTGTAATAGGCTACTATTAACGCCACTTAGATGTTGAGGTGTCCATGGCAATGCGTAGAATTTAACTGTGATTTTATGATTGTTATTTTATTCTATGTACAGCACTGTGGTCAACTCTTCTTGTATTATTATGTGCTCTATAAATAAATTGAACCTTGAACCTTATATGGTTCTAAATTTGATTCCCATGGTAATATAAGGTTTTTGTTACTTTTGTTTCTCTAGGTTGAATATTGGATATTTGGTTTCAAAAATATGAACTTACTAAATGTATGCTATTGGTCAAAAGTTTACAATTTTTTATTTATTTATTTATTTTATTTTTTTATATAAGTAGTTTATGTCGCTTAATAAGTCAAAGAGGCAGCACTTATTTCATCAACAATAATAGTAATTTGTGAAATATTATAGCAAGTTATTATAATATATTAAAATATGACTTATTCTTGTGATGGCAAAGCTGAATTTTCAACAGCCATAGTCCAGTCAGCAATAATTCAGGCATCATTATAATAGGCTCAACTATTAATAACATTTCTTATTATCATTGTTAAAACAGTTTTTGCCGCTTAATATTTTTTGTGAAAACCATGACACATTTTTTTTTTGTTCAGGTTACTTCAATGAATAGAAAGATTATTTGAAAAAAAAAATTAACATTATAAATGTGTGTTACTGTCGTTTTGAATAAAACTCTGGATAAAAGTATCCTATTAATTTCTTTACATATAAAAGACTTACTAACTTTTAAATAGTAGTGTATCACAATTTAAACAAAATATAAAGCAGCAAAAACAATCAAGATTGATAATAATAAGAAATGTTTTGTAAGGAATCAAATAAGCATATTAGAATTATTTCTGAAGGGTCATGTGACTCTGAAGACTGCAGTAATAATGCTGAAAATACAGCTTTGCCAACATATAAATAAATCACATTCTAAAATATATTAAAATAGTAACCCTTTTAAATCGTAATAATTTTTCACAATATTACTGTTTAAACCAACCCGGTCTCATCCCAAGACGTCATATAACTGACGTTTTGGGACGTCTTTTGACCATACGTCAATATTCGCCTTTTTAGGGCCCCCTTAAACGTCGGTAGATGAGGTTATGGGATCCTAACTCTACCTCAGACCTAAACCTAACCCTAAACCCAACTCGTCACCTTACTGACGTTAAAGGTAAAGCATCAGTTGTATGACGGCCCGGGATCGCCATCTACCGACGTTTAAGGGGGCCCTAAAAAGGCGGATATTGACGTATGGTCAAAAAACGCCCCAAGACGTCAGTTATATGACTTTTTGGGATGAGACTGTGTTATTTAAACCTTATCAAATAAATGCAGCCTTGGTGAGTAGAAGGGACTTCTTTCAAAAACATTAAAAAGATCAGTAGTATGCACAAAATTATATTCCCTCTTACATTGTACAAATAAGGTTTTGTTTAATTGTATCTTAATCATAATAATTACCTCTGATTGGCCTGCCAACAGCAAGGGCTCGTAGTGGAATTGGTGTCTTTGCCAAATAAGTGGGAGGAGTCTGACTTTCGCTGTCATCATACACATACACCCACAGACTGCCCACATTCAGGTATTCTAATACATCCGCGGTAACAGCTAACGGATAGCTTGCCGAGTCTTCAAAAACAGGATCCACGCAGCACTGAATTATGGGTGTAGAATGAGGTGGTAGGTCATAAAGGCGATACATTAAGTATGCATCAGGGAGTAGTCCTGGCCAGCGGGTACTGAGACCCACACAGCGCTCCAGTACCACCTCTAGCTCATTGGGTATCCCTACGCCGTAATCATACATCTCCTGAGGAACACACAAAAAAATACATGTTTTTAACAGTTTGAGGTAATAATTTCAGGCCAATTAAGCAGTCCTGCAAGAGATCCTCTCATTCCATTCAGTAAAAGAGGCTGTTGATTTTCAAAAATGACAAAAACTGTAAACATATCAAAGTAGTCCATATGACAATATTACAAGTTATCTGTAGCCATTTGATCATTTTTAAATATTTACATGTGTGAAAGACAGTATAGCTACAATGGAGGGCATTATTTGAATACTGTCTTTTTCCTCACACAAAAGTCTATTCCTCACACAAAATTATGATATGACTTGAAAATAAGAGCACAAGTCATGTGACATGCTTTTTGGTGTTTCTTTGCTCTATGTCGTCTTTCTTGGAGCCCCTAGTGATTGTATATATCCACTGTATGGAAAAGAGAGGCGGCATTTACCTCTGTTTCCCCATGAGCCCATTCCAAACCTCTGGTGTGTTTTACAGCTGTTCTGCTTCTGGGTCTTTCCATTTGAGGTTCTGGGAGTTCCACCTGAGGGTGTAAACACACCCAAAACTCAAGGATTCCTATAACTTCTCCTTCCGCTCCTGTAGAACAAAGGACAACTTACAAAATGCAGTGGCAAATAGTATTGTAATCAAGAGCTACAACAATGAAAAGAATGTGAAATTAAACTCTCTTAAATTAGCATAATTTATATGCTATTTTAAATGCAAAGCACGTGACCTAATTTTTCTTACCTGTGATGTTGGTTCTGTTCTTCATTCGTTCCCCTCTGCACTGTAGCGCTCCCATCAGAGTGATCCCCGCTCTCCCACGGGTTATAAATTGTACCCCTCCGAGTGCTTGGTGCAGTTCAACAATGATGGACCCTTCCTGAATCCTGAGCTTCTCCAGGTCGAAGGCAGAGAGGGCGTAATGCGACGTAAAGCCATAATTTGGCTGACAACCTGACATTAATGGAGTTGAGAGGGTTTCAAAGTCAAGAAAGCCATAGGTGCAAAAGGTCGCAACCCCTTGGTGATCTCCTGTGTTTTGTCCCATGAGTCTCAGTCCCAGTGGTGTAAAGGTGGCTCCTGTGAGATGGATCTCCAGAAGAGATTCTCCTCCACGCAGATGTGTGACTATGGCGCCCTCTGCTGTGAGCTGGACTGACTCTTGTGCCAGGCCTGGCCAGGTGTACTGCATGGGTATGGTCCGCTTATTGTTTCTAGGGCTGTACACTAACTCTTTGAGTTGAGCTAAAACAATGAAGGGAACATATGATGTCATACTTGCATTATTAAGAAAATAGGGGATAATGGGGTATATTGTACCCCATATTGTACACTCACACCAAAACACCAAAACACCATACTAATACTGTGTTTGACCCCCTTTCGCCTTCAGAACTGCCTTAATTCTATGTGGCATTGATTCAACAAGGTGCTGAAAGCATTCTTTAGAAATGTTGGCCAATATTGATAGGATAGCATCTTGCAGTTGATGGAGTTTTTTTGGATGCACATCCAGGGCACGAAGCTCCCGTTCCACCACATCCCAAAGATCCTCTATTGGGTTGAGATCTGGTGACTGTTGAGCAATTTTAGTACAGTGAGCTCATTGTCATGTTCAAGTAACCAATTTGAAATACTGTAAGTGGAATTGGAAGTAGCCATCAGAGGATGGGTACATGGTGACCATAAAGGTAGGGACATGGTCAGAAACGATGCTCAGGCCGTGGCATTTAAACGATGCCCAATTGGGCAATTGGACCCCAGTGGGGTCTTCTGCTGTTGTAGCTCATCCAATTCAAGGTTGCACATGTTGTGGCTTCACAAATGCTTTGCTGCATACCTCGGTTGTAACGAGTGGTTATTTCAGTCAAAGTTGCTCTTCTATCAGCTTGAATCAATCGGCCCATTCTCCTCTGACCTCTAGCATCAACAAGGCATTTTCACCCACAGGACTGCCGCATACTGGATGTTTTTCCCTTTTCACACCATTCTTTGTAAACCCTAGAAATGGTTGTGCGTGAGAATCCCAGTAACTGAGCAGGTTGTGAACTACTCAGACCGGCCCATCTGGCACCAACAACCATGCCACGCTCAAAATTGCTTAAATTACCTTTCTTTCCCATTCTGACATTCAGTTTGGAGTTCAGGAGATTGTCTTGCCCAGGACCACACCCCTAAGCAACTTCCATGTGATTAGATAATTGCATTAGTGAGAAATTGAACAGGTGTTCCTTATAATCCTTTAGGTGGTGTATATTGTATAGTATATTGTACATGCAACAACAGCAGTTCCTCTAACCTTGTAAATTGCTGATTTGAAGGCCTCTGCTTTTCAACAATTTGTCTTTTTCACTTCCCCTCCTTCTATTCTCCTCCCTCTCTCTTTCAGACTTCTCCATAACTGTCTTCATCTCATTCTATAAAAGAAAATACTGTATGTGTAACGGATGATGTTTTGGATTACGTGAAGATTATGTTTTGGTTTACGTTGTGATGTATTTTCACTGCGACTGTGTGTACCTGGAGGTCAGCATTTAGCCGATGCTGCAATAATAATAAGTCCCTAGTTTTCTGGAGTTCTAAAACAGTTTCTGCATATGAGGCTTGTACTGCATTCAAATCCCTTGTTGTGTCTTCTAACTTTCCATCCGTTTTCAAGAAACACATCACCCCTTGAGTCTCCTGCTGCATTCTGAAGGCCTAAGAGAACAGATGGAAAGATGTAATGTAACAAACAAAGAAAAGCATTATATACCTAATTATTTAGAAATATCACCAAAATCTGCAACATTTAAAACTAAAATCTTACCTTAATCTGCAGCAGAGTCTCACTCAGATCTTCCACACTCATATCAAACTCCTGATAGAAAATGAAAAACAGATTGTAATGAGCTGAACGTCCGGCCCCATTTTGTCTTTGCAAAGGATAATTTAGTGTAATACAGGAAACTTTACTTTTGTAACAGAGTCCAGTTTGTCTTGCAAAGATGTGACCTCCTGCCTTTGCTGCAGGACTTCTTGCTCCAAGCAGTCATGTTTTTCTCTGAGGAACAGAACCATATCTGAACACAGAAAAATACATTCAGTTTGTTGGGGAGATGTTTGCATTAACATTGAAAACATGAACCTCCGATGCATTTTGCATATTTGCAATTATGAGCTATGATTTGATGATTACAGAATTTTCAGGAGAACTTTGTGCACCGTGTTCAGGCTGCTATAATCAGCACTCCAGAATAAGATGAGATGTGGTGCAGAATTGATGGAGCTAGACATAAATCTGACAGCGCAAGAGCCTTACCTCTATCTCGCTCATTCTCCTTCTGAACTCGATCATTCTCAAGTCTCATCTGTTCCTTCTCCTCCTCCAGCATTATCTTTTCTCTCCTTTCTTCCACCAGTCTTTCTTCAAGCTTCTGTACCTCCTCTCTCCACATATCTTCTCTCAATGATTCCCTTGGTTTCTCTTGTTCCTCATGTTTTCCTTCTTGATGGCTTTGGGCAGACATAGTGCTATGGTGGAAACCAATTAATTAAATCATTTAAAACCTGGCCTTTTTAAGTACAGATTTCCAATTCCCTTGAAAAGTAACTGCTGTCATAAGTCAATTCAGGCCGATAAGTTGGCTATACCCTAGGAAATCCCCTTTGCCCCACAGTCCATGATAATGTCCCTGGTTTTTCCTCACTATCAATGACCCTACATCCTATGAAATACTGACCTCTCCAGAAGTGAATCATAGCTCTTCTTCAAGAGGATCCTCTCCTCTTCCAGATCTGAAACCCTCTCCTGAAGCTGAGGAACAGATGATTGCATAAGATTGCAAAGAAGAAAACTTGGAAAAAGTGCAAAAACTTTAAGAGTAACTCAAGCTGTACCTCCCCCAGAGCTTGCAGTGAAAGTGTGGCAGTGTTGAGCTGGCCCTCGAGTGTTAGCACTCGCTGCTTCTCCTGTTTCAGCTGCTCGCTCAGGTCCTCCACCTTCTCCAGCAGTGCTACTTGGCTCTCTTTTAGAGACCTTTGGCCCTACATAATATTTACCCATATAAAATAAAAAAGACACAGAACCTCATTTATTCAATGGCATCAACATGAACTGGGTTTAAATTATCAATGTTCTATCCTGATCAGAATAGGGCTACTTCTATTATACTATTTTATTCTCAGGTCATGTCAATGTTTGCATGAATATAAAGAAATAGCTGATAATGATGATCTTTTCAGGTTAAGCTCACCTCCTCCAGCTGGTTCTCGAAAGCCTTAAAAAAGAACACAAAGAGAGGAGATAATGAGGATGATTTGTTAAAATGCCAACATATAATTTGGAAGACATTATACCAGTTATTTTAAAGTGAAAGTCCCCATCTAAGATCCAATTCACCATATACACATTGATATATGTATATATATATATATATATATATATATATAGCTATATATATACATGCCCACATACAAACAAACTTTGGACCAACTTAAATGTGTTACAGGCAAATGTATTATTTTTATGAATTTGTATTTATGGACATGTTAAAAAAACTTTCATACAAAGTAAAAAGATTATTCATTATGAAGACAATATGCTACTTAATGTAGGTCAATAATATATTTTTTACTACTTAATTTCACCATAAGCCAAAAAGTTAAATTATCTATAATATGATAGTAAATTGTACTTAAAGGGTTAGTTCACCCAAAAATGAAAATTAAGTCATTAATTACTCACCCCCATGCTGTACCAACCCCGTAAGACTTTCGTTCATCTTCGTAACACAAATAAAGATATTTTTGATTGAATCTGAGAGCTGGATCAGTCCTACATAGAATGCCTAAGGGACTGGCTCTTGACGGCCCATAAAGTCATTAAAGAAAAGGTTTAAATATTCCATGTGCCTACAGCGGCTCAATTATAAGTTTATCAAGCGACGAGACTACTTTTTGTGCGGAAAAAACATAAATAACGACTTAATTCGACTATTCTATTACTTCCTTATGGGCGCATGCGCGAGAACTGAGACGAGGGCGTTCTCCTTCGACTACTTTTTGTTACCGGCTGCTCCGCTTAGGAGTATTACCGCCCCCTTTTTAAAATATTATTGAATATTTTTTTATTTAGTTTACTTACTATAAAATAAACTGAATCTGTAATTATAGAACTATAGAATTGCTGAATCTGTTTTTGTGCAAATGATATGAGTTAATGCCTGCTCACATTTAGTCTAGAACTACAATAACCACACAGCCCACACAATGGATGCACTTTCTCCCTATTTTTCTCAACATGGAGACAGGAGGGGTGTGTAATGCTTATGAGTGTTTATTATTTTAAATAATAGAGTTATAGAGATAATATTTTAAATATTATTATAAATAAAATAAAGACTATTGAACTCATCATGCGTGCTGCAGACCAGTTTAACACGGTGTTAGTCAAAAAATGTGAAAACAAAGTAACTTGCATTACTTATTTGAAAAAATTAACTCAGATATTTTGTTGTAAATGTAAAGGCAATGCCTTACTTTATTCATTATGAAAAAAGTAATCTGATTATGTAACTTGTGACCCAAATGACCCCAAACCTTAAATATAATCGAATTGTTTTTTTTTGTTTTTTGTTTTTTTTTGCTCTGGTTTGGTCTTACGGCTCACCTCCTGAAGAGAGAGAAACTTTTCCTGATTGACCAGAAGGGCGGAGCTCTTTTCAGAGAGCTGCTTCTGCAGTCTGATCACATCCACATTATCTTTTATAGTGAGTCTGTAAAGAGGGAAACAAATGTCACACACACACACACACACACACACAAACTTATAAAGAGTCTGTAAAAAGAATATAAAAAAAAAAATAACACACATATACACATAAAATTTTCCTACCTGTGTCCATCGGCTTGTTGCTTGCGTAGGTCTTTCATAATACCCTCAATTTCTTTCTCTTTTTCTCTGAACATTTCTCTAAGAGACTGAGTACTCAGCTCCTGTTCTGCCACCCTCCCTTGCTGGGTTTCTATGATGGTAGATCTGCTGAGAGAGAAAAAAAGCGAGGGAAAAGTAGATATTGCAGATCAACATTACATTAATAGCTAATTAATAGCATGGAAGCAGTGTTCTATTGTCACGCCTGCCAGCCGGAGTGTCTATGACAGCCACCAGAGGGCACTCCCTCCATCTTTGTTATCTCATCATGTACTGCATTTCCCATAACCCATTGCTCGGACTCACTATGTATCATTACTTTCAACTGTTTCTCATTAGCCTTGTAAACTCTTCCTATGTAATGCTGCGTTCAAGTCATCTCGTATAGATCGTAATTACGAATTGAATGCACTTGAACGCCACCACAATGTCGTAAATACCAGTGGGGAGCTCGGGATTTTCTTTAAGCCCCGATCTGTACGAGTTGGGGGCGTGTCAGTGAGAAACGTTCATTCAACGTCTGTTGACGGTAAATTTTAATTGAATTTCAATGTTTACTCATTGACATTGTAAGGCTTTTTCATTTATAAAGCAAGCTCTCTGCCCAAAATATGATATCGTTGTAATATAAAAATTATACCTAATGATAGAGTTTACAGTGGCTTCATAAGCTAATAAAAAACATAAAAAGAAAAACACACCTGATGCGCATTTTTTGTTCTTCATTTTTTTATTAGCAGAGTTAACAAACCTTGCTGTGTTTTCGTGTAATTCATTAAAAGAAGGTACACCGCCATTTTGCTCCGACGAAACTGACTTGGACACACCTCCCGTCGTAAACAAGCGACTTCCCACCTCGTACGTACGAACTTCCCAGGAGGACTTGAACGCAGCATAAGCCCTGCATGGTTGTTTATTCACTCATTGTGAAGTCTTGAATGTTTTACACTGTATTTCTCAGTGCTCTCTGGTTTCATGTGTAATGGTTCTGACCTTCTGCCTGGATTGCCCTTATAAATGACTGTTTGGGTCCTCAACTTGTGTGTCTAAACCTTATGTAACACCTACCTATGGGTTATCAAGATGCATTAAATCTAAGTATATATCAAGCAAAATATACTAGCAAAGTCTAAGGTTGAAAGCAGAACTACATAGCTGAAGTCTCTATGTTGGGATGCCATGAGTAGATTGTCATAAAGCAATAAAATGTTTTTGATCTACAGTAAAAGTCTTTCTTCCTTCCGTCATTTGGTTGTTTCTTTGTCTCATCTGAGAAGTAGGTATTAAGCACAGCACTATACTGTGTTTTGCAGAATTGGAAGTTATGTAAACACAAAAACATCCAACAAACCTGAGTAATGCAATTCTGCTTATACAGAGGAGAAAGAGACAGAAAGATTGAGGACAATGGTTTTGGTTTATATTGACCATGGCTAATACATAATCATGCATGTCTAAACAGTTCATAAAAACATGATTGAATAATCATGATCCAGGGGTGCATTATCCAAAAGCATGGTTAGCCAATTATGGTCTTCTATTGACGTTCTATTGAATTGTGTTGGTAACAGCAGAACCTGCAACCATAGGCCATGTTTACACAAAGCCGGGTATTTAGCAAAACGAATATTTTCCCCCTCTCCGTTTTCAAAAATAACATTGTTCACACAACAGCATAAATACGCCGTCGAGCGCCATCATAACTATGCCAAACCCATTGGCGGCAGTGGATAAAGCCAGCCAATCGGAATCCTCAGAATCGACAAGAGAGAACCTAAAACGCTGTTTCTCCCAGTTCACACGACAACACATAACCGGTGTTTTCAGAAATCTCCACTTTGGCCGTAGTTTTAGAAATAATCGTTTTCTGTGATAAAAACGGGGTTTTCGTGTAAACGAGAGGCCAATCCGCAGGGAAATATCTGCGTTTTCCCTTCGTGTAAACGGGGCCATAGTTGGCTTTGGGAAACGCCACTGATAAGCATCCCTTGATTACTTTTTTTTTTTTTTTTTTGCAGTTGATTACTCGCTTTTAACAAACAAAGAAATTTTTAGACACTATGATGATGTGAATAGTATCATCACATTTATATCATATTGTGAACATTCCATGAGGTATTTAAAGAGAAGTTTTTTTGTCTTACACATATTAGTGTAACAGACGTAGGCCAGTGAGAGCTGTGCATTTAAACCTCACTCCCCTAGGCTCAAGAAACTGACGCTACAGGCTTAGGGTGACCACCCGTCCCGCGTAGCGCGTGCGCGCACAGCGTTTGAAGCCCAATTCATGCGTCCCGCAAATTGAGACCGCGTCACGCATAATCAATGCTTGCTCAAAAAAAAGTCGGTCACTCTTTATCCTCGAGACGCAGGCAGCCAAACGTTGTGCCTGAACACGTTCACGTTCATGAACTTGTTCATATTTTGGGTGAACTGAACGTATTGTTTAACTGCCTGTCCTGATGAACGTGTGAACTCGTTCATTCTGGCGTCTCTGAACGCACGCTCTCTCAGTTTAACTTCGTTCAATGGGGTGCCAGATTTCTATAGGGCCTTCCAGGCGAACACCCTGCTAAAACTCACCGTAAACAGGGCTCAATATGTTGCGAAAAAACACCCAATCTGGCAACACAAGCCACCAGTGTCGCACCGCGGCCGCCGTCGACAAAGGCGTCGTATGATAATTTAAACGGATTTTATAACGAGGTCGGTGAAGATGGGAAAAATCTTACATTTCTGTGCAAACTTGAACTTAACTAGTTCATTTTAAAATGTGTGAACTGAACTTTGAACTAGTTCATGTAGAAAGTGAACTTCATCAAGACTGGTTGCCACTCCCACGTGACCTGCTGACTAGGTGATGTCAACTTTTTCATTGTTGTCATGACAGCGCAGCTTCTCATTCCGTGAACCTGTGGAGTTATGAGTTTAGACTTTTTTTCGACTTTTTTTAAACTGTTCCTGTGGTGTTGAGCAACTATAATTCCTGTTAATCCTATAATTTTATACTTTTATTGATTTAAAGTGAATTCATTGTAATAAAAAATAAATAAAATTAAATAGCTAAAGTAAATCGTAAGTGGAAGTGCTGTCAATTCATTGAATGTTCAAAATATTCATCTTTATTTAGAAAACAAATACACATTGGTTGGCCTATTCATGAGAATATATCAGCAATTACACATGTTTAGGGAATAGGGCATTATTAATGCATGTGCTAAGGTATGTGCTTTTTTTAACAATTATTCATGTACAAACAGTAAGGCAATAGTAACAATTCTAGATACGTAGACAATTCTAGGTATGGGTAAACCACTATCAGAGTCTGCCCGTGGGATGGGGGCACCGCCGCGCCAAGCAGTGTCCCACATTGTCCCTCAGAAACATACCCCTTGTCCCCCCTTGGGCTTATTAGCAGGTGGTCACCCTATACAGGCTACAGTCTTTAGCCTCCTTGTTATTGTCGACTGATGCTAGAGGGCCTCTTGAGATTAGGGGAGTGAGGTTTAAACTCACAGCTCTCACTTGTCTGTGTCTGTTAAAGGGGTGATGAACTGAGAAATCAAATTTTCCTTGAGCTTTTGACATCTAAGAGGTTATCATATTATAAGAAAATCCTGTAAGTTTCAGGACAGCCCCAGCAAACGACTCGTTTTTAAAAGTGGGGAACTATGATGTCAAAGAGGATAAAACACCAATCCTGCAGAAGAAGAATAACGCCTACTTCAACGAGGCAGGTTTTGCCCCGCCCATCAATTCACGCATTACACACATAGCTAAATAACAAAGGCCTACCTCGTGATGACAAACCGGATCGAGCTAACGAGCAATACAGAATATTGTGCAGTGCCTGGTTGTGGAAAAAGATGCTGCATATGCTTCCTCTGGATCCCAATAGGACTGCATGGATGAACTTTATTTTTAATGACGTTCCACTCCAGCTGATGAGGGTTAAACCGTCTGTTCGCTTCATTTCACTGAGGATTTTGTAAACACGGCTGGATTTGCAGACCGATTAGGAGTAAAGAACGGATCTGATAGGAATTGTGCAACACACGGACTCTGGGTCGAACATGTAGGCGAATCATACCGGTTGCCATTTTACAACATTGGACTATTTCAAAACAATTTTCCCCACGTACACCGACGAGGTGAGTTGAAAAACTTATTATAATATGCAAAACTGTTATCCACTCACTGCAGTGGCTGTTTACTTCCAAGTCTTCAGTGCGAAACGCCCATAAAAACCATGCGTTTCTGAGCTGGTCTCAAAGCTAGGGTAGAAAATAGCTTATTAATTATTCATTTTGATGTTTTTGAATGCAAAAACCAAGCGAACGTCATAAGCTCACCTCAGAAAACAATATAAAAAATGTAAAAAGCCAGTTCATGACCCCTTTAATAATAATAATTCATTACATTCATATAGCGCTTTTCTAAGTACTCAAAGCTCTTTACATATGTAGATGGGTAAATCTCCTCAACCACCAATGTGCAGCATTGTGACAGCAGTCATCACCCCCCAAACCTCACTGCCATCAGGGTCAAAGCACCCCCTCCAGTTACCGCCCACTTTAAACGGTATTCCAACCCCAGCCTGTTCACATGGGAGGTGGGCGCTCTAATGTGATAGACTAAAGACCCTAGTCTCTAACGTCAGTCACTAGAGTGCCTCTTGAGAGTGAGGTTTACACGCACAGCTTTTACTGGCCTACGCCTGTTACATTAGTGCAATTTTTTCTGTCTAAAGTAAAACCATACATAAGAACACACAGGTCAACTTACAATCTGTCTATCTCTCCTCTAGTATCGTCCAGTGAACTGATTCCACAGCGGGCAGGAGCGGTTTGGGCAGCTCGTCTGACACCTCCATCTCCATCCACACCTCGCCCTGAGACAGAGAAAGAGAGAGTAGATACTGACTGCAACACCAAATTAACACTCCTTATGTAAGAAAAAAGTGATAGTACCATACTGCATTAAGTTATTCAAAGTACCACAGACCTTGTAGATGCCACCAGGGTTAGTTCACCCCAAAATGAATATTCTGTCAGTAATTACTCACCCTCATGTTGTTAAGACTTTCGTTCATCTTCTGAACACAAATTACGATATTTCTGATTAAATCTGAGAGCTGTCTCACTTCTCCATAGGCTTCTAAAGGGATTGAAAGTGAGAAGAAGAATGATCCAGCTCTCAAATTTTATCAAAAATATCTTCATTTATGTTCTGAAGATGAACAAAAGTCTTACGGGGTTGGAACAACATGAGGGTGAGTAATTACTGACAGAATTTTCATTTTGGGGTGAACTATCCCTTTAAAGGGTTAGTTCACCCAAAAATGAAAATTAAGTCATTAATTACTCACCCCCATGCTGTACCAACCCCGTAAGACCTTCGTTCATCTTCGGAACACAAATAAAGATATTTTTGAGTGAATCTGAGAGCTGGATCAGTCCTAGATAGACTGCCTAAGGGACTGGCTCTTGACGGCCCATAAAGTCATTAAAGAAAAGGTTTAAATATTCCATGTGCCTACAGCGGCTCAATTATAAGTTTATCAAGCGACGAGACTACTTTTTGTGCGAAAAAAAAAACATAAATAACGACTTTATTCCACTATTCCATTACTTCCTTATGGGCGCATGCGCGAGAACTGAGACGAGGACGTTCTCATTCGTCTACTTCTTGTTACCGGCTGCTCACCGCTTAGGAGTTTTACCGCCCCCTACCGTATAAGATGATGTGCTGATATAGCTGGAAGCGAGAAAACTTTCTGTTTACAAGCAGAGGAAGATGCGCGCTGTACATACGCTTTTCAATTTGCGTATTTTCCGCACTATAAGGTGCACTTAAAAGCCTTTAATCTTCTCAAAAAACGACAGTGTTCCTTATAATCCGGAGCGCCTTATATATGGATCATCATTTTATACGGTAGAGGGCGGTAATACTCCTAAGCGGAGCAGTCGGTAACAAGAAGTAGACGAATGAGAACGTCCTCGTCTCAGTTCTCGCGCATGCGCCCATAAGGAAGTAATGGGATAGTGGAATAAAGTCGTTATTTATGTTTTTTTCGCACAAAAAGTAGTCTCGTCGCTTGATAAACTTATAATTGAGCCACTGTAGGCACATGGAATATTTAAACCTTTTCTTTAATGACTTTATGGGCCGTCAAGAGCCAGTCCCTTAGGCAGTCTATCTAGGACTGATCCAGCTCTCAGATTCAATCAAAAATATCTTTATTTGTGTTACGAAGATGAACGAAGGTCTTACGGGGTTGGAACAGCATGGGGGTGATTAATTAAAGACTTAATTTTCATTTTTGGGTGAACCGACCCTTTAACATGGTGCAAGTCCAAAAATAGGCTTCAGGAATATTACCATTTTACCATATTCAAAAAACACAGTAACACACACACCAAAACCAAGATTTTTGTAAGTGACTCCTCACCTGTTCGTGGCCTATTATGTGTTCTGATACCCAGGTCTAAGATGTGCTGCTTGGCTATATTTAGTTTACTCTGTAGCGTCCCCTTCTGGCTTTCTAGAGTCGCTACACGAGCCTCTAGCTCTTGAATGGTGTCCTCCAGCTCTCCATCCCTCCCCGCAGACGAATGTCCGTGCTTTAATCGCAGCAGTTTAGTTGATAACCTGAACAGCCAAGACAATAGTCTTACTCTTCTTAAGGTGGTGTATTTTGGGGTATAAAAACATTGATAAAAGTGTCCAAGCAAAGCGTTCAGGTTGCATAGTCCTGGGACTGCAAGCACAAGCTGAGTAACTACCATTGAGATGAATGGAAATGATGATGTTGTTAGTGCGTGTTTCTGCACCTGCGTAGTTTTTGGTCTTGTGTGCGGCAGTGTTGTTTGAGAAGTGTGTTCTCCTCCTGTAGACGGAAACACTGGTCTTCCAGATGCTCGCGTGGTACTCTGAACAGTCGCTGACGATCTGTATAAAGACAGAGACTTAGAAAACAACCCAGAGTAGCTACTATTTACAGTTCTGGCTCAGAAGTCGCTCTTTCATAGCCCGGGACTGTATACTGAAGAAAGAAGTTTGCAATTCTTTGGGGTATTAACTTTGTCTCAGATACTTCTTCTAAAAAATAAGCACAAATTAGATCATTGCTAATATACAGTAAGAGTATAGAGCAATGAAACATGGATATTATGGTTGGACTAATAATGAAACAAGTAAATTATCCTTGAAATTCTCAGGGAGACGTGAGATTACTGAGACACTTTTCACAGTTCAGAAAATGTCTCCATTTGCACTCTATTTGAATCTAACTGACCATTAGATTCAAAGAATACAATATCTAATAGTAATAAATAAAACTAATATATTTCTGAATTATTAAACCTACTAAGAAATAGTAGTGCATAGTGGTGAAGTGAGTGTTGAGACACGTCTTACCCTTTATCTTGAGCACCTGTGGTGGTCTTCTCCAGCTTCTGGCATCTTGATCTGTGTCTAAAATAAAGCATACATTGATCCATTGACAGAACAGATCCTCTCATTTAAACAAACCAGAAATAAAAATGCATTTGATCTTGCAACCTAAATATACACATACCATGTCAGCACTATACACACCTGTGAGAACAGTCATCAGTCCTGCTCTCAAGCCCACGTCCCTCACAGGGAGGTCACCTGCTGTATCATCCACCGCCAATGACATTATGAAAACTAACAGCTCTAACCAATCACTGCCTTTATATGAGCCGAGGCATTCGGGAAGTGATGTCACCACAGAGGAAGTCAATGGGACAAATGTCTTTCTTATTCTGCGTCACAAAGAAAATAAGGAAACATTTCAAATTAAGTTCTTAAAAATGAGATTAAATTAAAAAAAACTAATATGAAACTAATATTAACATTTTAAAAACATATCATTTAAAACTAAACTTATGTGAAATGTTATATTCAGTTAATTATAAAGGAGGGGTTTCCATCTTTATACCAATCCATGGACTTCCAACATAAAAACATCTGTGATTGTATGTAAATGAAAATCTAATTCACTCATGTGTCAGCTCCACCCCCCTTAGGATGTGAGGGAATGGTGCAATGAAAGAAAAGGAGAACGGAGGAATCGCAGGAAGTCTTGTTTTGGTATTGGAATATTCTTAAAACATTGTGGATGGTATGCTTTTCGTCTCCAAACCAAACTTGGGTTTGAAGTGTTGATTCAAGAAGTGTTGCTCTTCACTGTGAAGATCTAAACATATTGAGATATACTGGAAATTGCAATGGAAGACTTCGATATATCAACAGAAAACATTGATTTTTTTTCAACAAGAGATCACTTCCGCTGCTTTCAGACCGAAGCGGCCATGCATCCAGATCACTTGGATGTGGCTGTGGTTACAAGAGGTAAAAATTATATAAATACTGTTCGTTTTCTCACACAAACCGCTCGTTTCGTGTCTTAGGCCATCAATGTGTACTTACATTAAATCATCAGTCATTAAAGTCACAGTCATTGAATCATGTTTAATTTGGACTTCTCTGTGCATGCTCTCTGAGGTGGACCCCATATACCTCCATTATATGACTGACAGACAAGAACGGTTTGACCAAATGTCAAAATTGAATTGCTGCAAAAGATGCTTTCCAACAGGTTTTATCGTAGGTTTTGTCCAAGTCAAGTCAATGGAGTTTCAAATTTCAATCTTAACTATTTCATCAGAAACAATCTTTAAACTGCGCTTGAAGAAAACATACATTTACCAACCCATAGACTGCACTGATAAGAAGTTTCTTTAGCACCAAATTTGCATTGATTTCAACACTGATAAGCTGTTTTCACACTGATTAGCACCAAACCAGCACCTTATGCCTTAAAGACTGCAGAAAATTCAGCTTTTACCATTACAGAACTGAATTATATTCTAAAACGTTATTTATTAATAATATAAAAAGTATTTTTTTTTTACTTTTAAAGCAACATAAAAAAACGTTTTAAAAAAATCTTACCGTATTTCATCTAAAACATACAATTTTATTTATTTAATTATTCGTATGCATGCGTAAAACAACAGAGAGACCGAACATCAATTATATCTAGAATCAAGATAAATGAATTTGTTACACAGCAGAACAATTTCTATTTTACTAATGAAGGCAAACAGATACATGGACACAAGCTTTAGATTGACAATATTATTGCAACTTCCTTTAATAAACAAAAACATCCTAATCTGAAAATTATTATTATGATACTGATACAAATGGAAATGAAGACATAGATGACATAGATAAACTGAGCAAAGTTTTCTCAGTCACAGACTCACATACCTGTTGGTGTCAGTGTGTCTCCTGTGCTTTAGTGAGTGTTAATCCTCCTCTCAGCACGTGTCATTCATATTCCTTCAACAGGTCTATCCTCTTCACTGTAGTCTTCCTCATAGTCAACTCATCATCAGTAGCAGCATAAAAAAACTCTCTTGTTTTGGGTCTGATTGTTAGTTTCTCTTTTACTTGGAAAGACGCTGTCTCATCAGTCCAACTTTAATCTGCTTAATCTCTTTCTCTGCACCTGCTCCTGTCAAATGTGTTCCTGCTTTTTCTCAGCATTTCTCAATTACAAATGCACTGTGTATAAATACAAATAAGACATATGTTCCCTTGGAACAAACAAACATTGTTCATTGACTGTCTGATGCACAAAAAATGCTAAAAGACGGTAATTATTATGGTGAGCAGCATATGGTTTTGGAACCCTAGTCGAATGTGATTGGCTGTAGTGTAGCTGTCTCATAATCTGATTGGCTGTTGTGTTTGTGGTAAAGACAAGAACAGGAGGTCACTGGAGAAAATCAGATTACAAGGATGAAAGGAAGCTTATGTAGTATGTGCACATGTGTGTGTGTGTGTGTGTGTGTGTGTGTGTGTTGTCCACAGTAGGCGAGTTGACAGAACCCATGCAGTTGATCCAAAACGATTATTTGAAACAAACATGGCTTGAAACATAACATGAACAACAAAATTACCGACAGCAAAGCTAGACAAAGGAATAACAAAGCATGAGGACTATTTATAACACAAAAGTTTAATGATCAACAAGACAACCCTGAGCATTATCAAAACGATAAACCAATGATTAAACAGAACTGATGAACACATGACAAGAACAACCAATCAAAATATGGGCATGATTAAGACAATGAACCAATGACAAAACAGAACTGATGAACACATGACAAGAACAACCAATCAGAATATGGGCATGATCAACAATGAACCAATGGCAAAACAGAACTGATGAACACATGACAAGAACGACCAATCAGAATAGAGTGCCGAAGTGATGACGTCACTTTGTAGGACAACTCGGAAGCTAGCGGCGCATGGGTTCCCTCGATCGAAAAGCAATGCATTTTCCCCATAGACTTTTGGAAAATCGCAAAAAAATATAAGATTTGTTTTCAACAAAGAGTTACGACCCCTACACGTTTTCTCTATCAAGAGAATCTTTACAAGTTAATACAAAATCTATACATTTTGAAGCCAGTTTTAAAAAGACACAATAACGTTTAAAATACCATGAGCAGGTTATAACTGGTGTGTTTTGTGTCATAGATCAAAACGTGAAAATATTTAGAGGCTTTGTTCACCACAGACCTTATTTCAGGCGATTTAGCAAAAACCCATTAAAAAACCTATAGACTTTAGGGCGAGGGAACCGGAAGTGCTAAAATGCTAACTCCCTTCTGCGTTTTGGCCTACAAAGTGACGTCTTAACTTCAGCACTCAATATGATGAGACAAGGGAAGCACATGACATGATCACATGAGGACATGAGAAATACATGACAGGAAACAAACTACAAAATAAAAGACATGAAATCATGAACACAAAACCACAACCAATCGTGACATATTCCCCCCTCAAAGGGCACTCTTGACACCTAATGAAACAGAAACACTATAAAAGTCAGAGTTACATTGTTATTAAGTTGTAAAAACAAATTATAAAAGGAAACTGAAGTGCCTTGGAACACGCAGATTTGTATGATGCGTTGAAGTCATTTCCACGGAAACAGGAAGCTAAGGTGGCACATATTGAATGGCTCCTCCCCCTTTTCAAATAGCCAATAGCGTTTGCACCATGGAAGCGAATCCGAGCACTGATGATACGTTGGATTCTATAGTGTGAAAAAATTCTAGCCATTTCAGTCTTAACCAACATACAGTTGGAAAATGTAATAAAACTAGAGCGTTTGAGCAACCGAACTCATACCTCTAACCCATATTGCTCTGTGACATGTCAACTGTCGCTTAGGCCAGTATTTATAGCATGGGGTGGGACGCTTTAGATTTTAGAGCATTTGATTGGACAGAAGATGTGATGAGAAGTTAAAAGTCTGGGGTAACGTCATAAAAAATATGTGATACATTTTAGCGGAAATGAGAGACTATAAGTTTCGAATGCTTATATCTCCTAAATGCAAATTTTGTCATTGTTTTGTAATACACACCAGCTTCTTCATAACCTCAAGGATAACATATTCAAACTAAAATCTAAAAAAAATAAATTTTTGATTTCAGAATATTGAATTAATGAATTAATGTGTAACTAATGAATTAATACACAATACTTAATGTGTAACTAATGATTATTTAAGCTATTCATTAATGACCACATTAGGAACTAATTAAGAGTCTGTAAGGTTAATGTATTAGTTCATATATGAATTGTTAATAAGTAAATATGTAATTGTGGATTAATTCCATAATAACTCATTTTTTACCTAATAGTGTTAATTAATATGTTATAGAATGAGCCAAAGCCTTGTATTTCAACTTCCAGATAATATGACAGGTACACTAATATGCATTAACACATCATTAATTACTATATTGCTAGTGCAAATTCATGTGCAAATTACTACAATTACTAAATGACTAGTTAACAATGATGTGCCTCAACAAGTAAAGTCATAACATAATGACACCTTTGCAAATCATTAGCTAATGATTAATTAAAGCAGACAACTGGAAGTTGAAGTGCATAGCTTTGACAAATTGTGGTAATTAACACATTAATTTACACTATTAGTTAATAAAACATGCTATTAAGGAATTAATACACAATGACACATTGAATTAAAAGCAATTCATGTATTACTTAATCTATTAATCATATTGACTCTTTATTAGTTGCTGATGCAGTAATCATTAATTAATGGTTTAGTTCTTCATGAGTTAGTATATTAACTAATGATTAACTGTGCATTAGTTAAGGATGAATTAATGCATATTAGTGCACCCGTATTGTAAAGTGTTACCATTATCTTCAATCTGACGAACTTTAATTTGTTAGGGTTTCTGTTTTCTTTTTTTCTGTTAAAGGTATAGCGGAGGATTTTCTTTTTCCGCGTGGGTAGTCTATACTATTGGTCCACCTAAGTGTCAATCATTCTGGTGATATGTTTACGTAAGGCCGCGTCGTAGGCTACGTGCTCATCCCTATGTAGTTTTCACTTTCAGGTGTATTATGTCGGAGTTACGGTTTCAGCCATTCCTTTGAAAATGGCTGAGGGTCGAAAGAGAAAAAATGTATACGAAGTGTATGATAAGAAGAGAAAGGCCGCAGAATATAGAAACAAGACCAGAGAGATTTTGGGTTAATGTCACACGCTGGCGTGCGCTAAAAGCACAGGTTGGGCTTCTCACTGATGCCGCAGTCGCGAAGATTCTACTACACAGGTCAA